CCTGCTGAAGTTAATCTTTCTGTTGAATTTAAGAAGATTAGGGTCTCATGCAGATTGCCACCCAAGATGTCTCATGTTTCCACATTCTGTCCTGACTTTTTAGAAGCAAGGCTTCTCTCAAGGATCTCAAGCAGTATGATGCTCATTCCCATGCTAGAACATTTCTGTCTTTGCCCAATCACAGCCACAACATGTGAAGAGGGATGGCAATCCCAGAAGATTCTCCAGAAGTCAATCACAGCAATCCATTCTGATTTTCACCCCACAAGAGATCTGGTCCTTTCCAGAGACCAAGGGGGAAAAAATCGTGGATTTCAGTGGGTTTTTAAGTTTATCTTCAATACCTTCTTTGATATAGGGGGAATTAAAGACAAAGCAATAAGTCAGTAGACTGTCAAAAACAGCTCCTTGAAACAAGCAGGTTTCTGACCTAGGTTGCACCAGTGTCTTGCCTTAGGAAGACTGAGTCCACTCTGCTGTTATTGCTTGCTGGTACATAGGAAGTAGATGTCATATGGAAACACATGAGTTAAAAGTAACTAAGACCATATTGGTCATCTGAAGATAACCTATGAAGACTGGCAGGAAGAAGAACCGACTCCAAAAGAGGCCACAAAAGTAGAATTTACGTGTCTTTCATGTTACACATCAATGCAGAGCCCTCACTGGGGATTCTGTAACTCCATGAATGCCAGTAACATAAAAATATAAAGAAAGCAAAGAAAATGCCTCTTGCACCCATTGCCTGTTTGCTTTGCTCAGGAAGTTGTCCTTTGCAGCTTTACAGCCACATGAGGTCATTTCAAGCAATGGTGGTGTTAGACAGTCTAGGATGAAGCTGCAAAGGTGTTAAGGGTAGAAAGCCATAGCTAGGCTAAATACTCAAGAAATGTTTCATTAAAAACATCCAGAGACTTCACCAGTGTGACAGACTGTTACATTATGAGCTTTTTCAATGAAAATCCGTGCCAAGATTGGGCCACCTTCACTGGGATTTCATTCAGGAAAGGAAAAGGGACTCGGGTAGGAGGAGAGTTACAAGAAGTGCATTTGAATATTTTTATCAAATAAACTTTTAGTTTTGGATGAACTCTTCTGCATTGCACTTACCTTTAAAACAGCATGTAGAAATGGAATTTCAGCATTTTTTGTTTGAGGTTTTTGGTTTAATTTTAGGACAAAAACAAACTTCAAAATATTTAATAAATTTAATCTCTTTTCCTTCATGCTGTTTTCTTACCTTAAAATCAGAAAGAAAAACCATTTTGATAGACCTTTTATTTTTGGTAAGTGAGTCACTTTAAAGGTCTCTTTAGAGACCTTTGCCAGGGATGATAAACCTAAAATCAGCCATCAAGGCAAGTTCCAGTTATCCAAATCTGTAATCAATTTGCTGAAAGGATAGCCTTAAAATGTCAGTTCATGTAAAGAACTGAGAAAATTGGCAAAGTACTTTAATAAATATGGGAACGGAGCGAATCACTCAGCCTTCCTCCAGGCTGTTACATATTCAGAGATCACATATGAAGGCTCCTCTGACAAACAGTGTCTTTAAAAAGCACAAAAACATCAGACAAGTTTTCAAGACTATTGTACAAATAGACAGAATTTCTTTGAATATATTTTGTTTTCCTTTTGTCTTGTTACATATTGTTTCTCTCTGTGAAGTCCAGCACTTTATTTAAGCTCATCAGTTCTTCTCATTAGTTATCTCATCCCAAAGCCCTTGATCTTTAGTCCCTCTTCTTCTTTATATGGATGACAAATGAGGCGTACAACTCTTTTCTTCTTCAAGCCCTGCTAATCTGTTATCCCCCATCCCTGTCTGGTGATGAGTCCTGCGTTGTATGGACACACTCTCCAGCATGGAGGCTGTACATCCTGCTTTCCATGCAACCAAGGGCACAACTTCCAGACTGTCATGAGTGATGGTAAGACTTTCTCTGACAAGAGTGGGAAAATCAGGTTGGTCCTCCTCTTCTGAAGGAGCTGACAGAGGAGGAGAGCTGGGAGAAACCAGGTGGCAGCAGGTTGTCCTGTTGGGCAGGAAGGTGGACGTCCTTCAGAGTAGTGTTACCAGCATAGTTGCAGGAGGACAGGCATTGATTTTTCCAAGCTGGTCCACTGCAAAGCTCCCTAACACATTTTCCACCCGTGTCCTTCGCAGACAAAGTCCCACCTTTTTGGAGACCACCCACAGCTTGGACATTTCCATCTCTTTGTGTGATATTAGACATGACTCCTGAGGGGAGTGAGTGTTTCCTTAAATAAATTAGCCTTATTATATATATATGCTGTACCCATCTTTCTGGATGCCCCATCCCTGGAGGTGTTCCAGGCCAGGCTGGATGAGGCTTTGGGCAACCTGGGCTAGTGGGAGGTGTCCCTGCCCATGGCAGGGGGTGGAACAGGATGATCTCTAAGGTCCTTTCCAACCCAAACCATTCTGTGATTCTATGAAAGCCAGGCTTGGCTCAGGTTTTGTCAGGTTTGACTAACTACAAGATTTGCTAATGAGGAAGAGGAGCCTTTAGGAAGCTTTATGAAGGAAATACAACAGATGGACGGGTCTTCATCATGGCTTTGTTTCTCATACTCCAAGCACACAACCATCGTTGAATGTGTGCGGGTGCCATGTGTATCCAGCTGTGTGTTTTAAGGGATTAATCGGACATAAAGCAGAAACAGCAAACACTGCTGGACACTGCTTAGTGCACTAGCCCCTGACAAAAAAGCCCATCAACTGGGCAGCTCTGACTGTGCCTCCCTCAAGGGTAAAGCTGACCAAAAAGGATCCAGAAATGGCACTAAGGTGCAGGGTGCTGCTGTCTCATCCCCCCTGCCACTGGAGGCAGGATTGGAGGTGTAGAGAGAAAAACAAGATAATCTCTTCTTTGTCTGGATTCATGTGGTCATTTTGTGCATCCTCAAGCCTTGTTTGCAATAATCACCGTTCCTGGGCACCTTGGGTACGGGGACCAAGAGGAAAACCTATCTGCCAAATCATGGTCCCTCATTGTGGGAGATGGAGAGATCTCCATGCACCAGCCTGTGGATGT